TGGAACTTGAGGAAGCCATTGCTGAAGTGCTGCAACTTGCCAAGCTTGAGCTCCGCCCAGGGCTGCACCAGATTGTTACACTGGATATGAAGGAACTGACACACCTTTCTGATCACCACACACTGTGTCTCTGCCTGGTTGAGGATAAGATGTTGTGTATTGTCAAAGATGAATCATATCTGGAAAACAAACAATGCATAAACACAAAGTCAAACTACTCCACCACCCTCCCTCTCCTTGATTTTGAAGAATAAAATAGTTTGAATTCCTAAAATTCTTAACCAAAAGAAAAATAAATGCCCTTTTCCTCATTTTTCTCCTCTGCTCCCAAGCATCTGTGGAACTCTGGTTTTTGTGGAAACAAGGGTGGCTGGTAATTCTGAGGGTGCCAGGAGCTGTATGAAGTATTTTCCTTCAGACATAGAAAATGCACTGTTCAGAAGTGGCATTTGAGGAATGCCCTCTCTGTTGACAAAAATTGTTGTGGAAAGTGCTGCACATGCTGGATTTTCTTTCTTCATCCCTTGGTGTCACACAATGGCACAGTGTAAGATGGTACATTTAATGAACATGATCATGTGATCATGTGATCTTGTTAATCATATGATACTGATGTGGCTACAGGTGTACCTGCCAAATCTACATGACATCCACAACACCAACAATCAACATCTCTACTTCAGCAACTGTGTAGAACAGTACTTTGTCACAGTAATTTGCACATGGTCTCACAACAATGTGCACAAGGGCTTTGAGGACCACGCCTACACAAACAACCCCAACAGCACCATTGCTTGCAGCTGACCTGATGGGTCCTGCCACAGAGGAGGAACTTAAAGAACACAATCTCCCTCCAGTACATTCTCTGTGTTATCACTCCTTATGTTTTACTCACACATTAACTTCCTTAGCCACAACATGCAAGGGGCACACAAAGAGAAGGACCAGTCAAGCACACAAATACCAAGAATAATAGGGAACTCTACAAACTTATGCAACAGAACAACACCACGCAGCTGATGGAAGATATACATCACACAATGAGGGGACCCTCATTCAGCAACCCCATGATTGCTGAGAGCGTCCATGTCCTGAGCGAGGCTGGCAAGGTATGCTCACTCACTCTAATGTCATGTCATGTTGCATGTCATGTTGTTCTAATATGTGAATTGCAGATCATGTACCCACCTGTCCCCCAGTGCTGAGCATGTATCAGCCAGGTGACACTCAACTTTGTGTCCCCAACCAATGTGATTGATCCAGGATTGCTACAAGCAGAAAGTGAGCTTGAGTGATGATCAGTTTCGCTATCAACACAGTGACAGACTCAAGCACCCATGCAACTTGAAACGTTTCCAGCAGTGCAAAAGGTACAGCTACAAAGCAATATGATACATTTTGTTTTATTTGAACTTACTTGCATGTAGTTACATGGGGTATAGGGCTACGAGGCCAGAAGGTTGCCAGCTCATCCTTCCAATCTTC